AACTACAAAGCCGGCCTTCTCCGCTGGGGGATCTTTAGTTCGGGTTATTCTGAGAGGAGATCCAGAGTGAGTACATTATAATTATATAGCTTCCTAAATCGATAACTGTCTACAGGGTTTCTCTCTCTTAGCTAATTTTGTTTTCGGCTGTACGTTCTGTTCAGCCCCTGTCATTTTGTCTGCTTGGAGCTTCCAGCAGGACCTTATTTTTTTAATCATTTATGTTCAGCTATTTGTTGTCCTTCAAATGAAGATGTTGTACTGAGTATTATGATTTGATGAGGCGGATAGAATACAACATATTCCACAATTAATAACAGAATCACCACCAGTAATGTGTCTTTTAAGATGGCGCTGATCTAGCGGCAGGCTGTTGTAGCAGCTGTCTTCGTAAGCCCCCCCCCAATTTCAAAGTCACAGGCGACTGGCAGCAGGTGAAGAGTCTGCAGCAGGAGCAGCTCAGCACCTGTAGTCAGAAACGTTGGTTCTTCATCAAAGGTTACAAGGAAAAATCGCCAACATTATTCTACAGACATTAATTGGTTATTATTTTAATAATAATAATAACATCTAATTCTGTACACAGTGACATTTTGCCTGTTTATCCCAAATGAGAGACAAATCACTGCTGAAGAAAAATAATGTTCTCACCTGCTTACATTAAATCAATGGATGGATGAAATTAGCCGTTTTTAAAACTCCCAAAAATAAGCTTCTCAAGGATCAGTTTTTGGTCCTGTATTGTTTGTAACCTTTACACACTCTACATGTTGTATAATAAAGTATCTAATAATATGTTCTAGTGTTGCACATGATACATTTTTTACAGCTGATACACAGTTGTGCTCTATTCCCTCTGATAATCTCTGATAGCGTATTTTGTAAATAGTATTACATCCTCTGCACACTTTGGCTGCTCTGAAAAAGAGGGCAACAAACCAGAGAAGTTTGACTCCCTGGAAGAACTTATAAGTACACCTACACTGAAGACTTATTTATTCTTCTTTTGACCTGAACAAGAAAAAGCCCTCTGTAAAGTTATGAAATCTTAGTAAATGAGGAAAACAGGAACAGCTCTGTAGCCAGGCTGACTAAGCCACTGGTCTAATGTTTGGACACACCTTCTCATGATTTTTCTATTTTATAATGACTTTTTACATTATAGATTCTAATTGAAACCATCAAAACTCCAAATAAACACATATGGAATTAGGAGACAAAAAAATGTTAAATAACTCAAAACATATTCATATATTAGATTCTTAAAAATGTTAGATTCTTTAAAATAGCCATCCTTTGTATTGATTACTATTTTTCACACTATGTGTGTGAGTGTGTGTGTGTATGTATGTATAGATATATGTATGTATATGTACACTAAATAGGTGTTGTGAAGTGCATGTCACTGTTTTAGTTCTTTGTCATCATAGGCAAAAGAAGGGGAAGTGTGCCGAAACCTCTCCAAATTTATGACCTCAACAAAAACCAACCAATGCCAGCAAGTACAGATAAATGAGTTGTGATCCCTGTGGAGAAGACTTTCATCACTATGAAGAAGACCAGAAGACGCCAGCGCATTGACAGTGGAGACAGAAGCTTCATGTGCGATCAGTGTGGAAAGGCTTTTACTCATTCTAGCAGCTTAAAACAACATAAGCTCATCCACACTGGCATTAAACCATTCAGCTGTGATCAGTGTGGAATGTCTTTTTCTGACAATAGCAACTTAAAAAGACATCAGCTCGTCCACACTGGTATTAAACCATTCAGCTGTGATCAGTGTGGACAGGCTTTCAACCATAATAGCAAGTTAAAAAAACACAAGCTTCTCCACACTGGATTAAAACCATTCAGCTGTGATCAGTGTGGAAAGACTTTCACTGTGAATAGCAACTTAAAAAGACATCAGCTCGTCCACACTGGCATTAAACCATTCAGCTGTGATCAGTGTGGAAAGACTTTCACTCAGAGTGGCAGCTTAAAAAAACATCAGCTCATTCACACTGGATTAAAAGCATTCAGCTGTGATCAGTGTGGAATGGCTTTTACTCAGAATGGCAGCTTAAAAA